GCAGAAACACAAAGAGAGACAAAGAAACAGAGGAGGAAGAGGAGAGGAAGGTATGGTGCATACCTTTAATTCTACCACTCTGAGGCAGAAGTCAAAATGTACATATTTCCAAGACAGCCAATGTTATGTGGAGAGACCCTGTCTCCAAAACAAAAACAAAAAGAAAAGAAAAGAAAAGAAAAGAAAGAAAGATAGATAGAAGGAAAAAGTCAGGAATGTCAGAAATAAAGTACACAGAGACAGAGGACACACACAGAGAGAAAGAGAGAGAGAGAGAGAGAGAGAGAGAGAGAGAGAGAGATTGAGGCAGGCAAGTTAGGCATGAAAATCATTAGAGTACTGTAATTTGGGATTGCAGTTTATGGGTATAGTTGTGAGACTAAGTAAAGGGAATGAGGGAGTAGTTATAGGCAGAGTTGGGACTCTTGGGGAATTTTAGAGGTGAGATTTACAATTACTGAAAAGAAGTTTGAGCTGCACAGCGTTGGCACATGCCTTTAATCCCAGCACTCAGGAGGCAGAGGCAGGTGGATCTCTGTGAGTTTGAGGCCAGCCTGGTCTACAAAGTGAGTCTAGGACAGCCATGGCTACACAAAAAACCAAACCAAACCAAACCAAAATAATACATCTAGCAAAAAACAAATATAGTTTGGAGTCAATGATGTTAAGTATTATTAAAGGGTATATTGAGGATATTTTTGGAAGTTTTTCCTTTGTTTTTTGTATTTATTGTTAGGTTTGTTTTTAACATTAAAAACTGTGTGTGTGGGAGGGTAGAGTTCAGATTAAAGCTGTGGAATGTAGTTGGTTTTCTTTCTATCATGTGGGTTCCAGAAATAGAACACAAATCAGGATTGGTGGCAAATGCTTTCACTTTCTGAACCATCTCACTAACCCTGGACAGTAGTTCTCAGCCTTCTTAATGCTGGAACCCTTTAACACGGTTCCTCATATTGTAGTGACCCACAACCATAACATTATTCTGTTGCTACTTCATAACTGTAATTTTGCTACTGTTATGAATTGTTTCTTGTTTGTTTTTGAGAAAGGGTTTCTCTGTGTAGCTTTGGCTGTCCTAAACTCACTTTGTAGATCTGGCTGGTACTGTTATGAATTGTAATGTAATTATCCAATTTGGGAGATATTTGATATATGACCCCCAAAGGAGTCAAGACCCACAAGTTGAGAACCACAGTTTTAGGACAAGGTCTCATTTGCCTAAGCTGTCTGAAAGTTGCTTTGTAGCTAAGGATGGCTACAAAGCAGGAATCCCTCTGCCTCTGCCTCTACCTGCCAAATGTTGGAATTACAGACATGTTCTGCTATGCTCCACTCTGTAAAAAGGGGATAAGAGTCTCATTGCCAGCCAGGTGTAGTGGTGCACACTTGTAATCCCAGCACGCATGGAGGCAGAGGTAGGTGGATCTTTGTGAGATCAAGGCCAGGCTGGTTTACAAAGGGAGTCCAGAACAGCCAAGGCCACACAGAGAAACTCTGTTCCAAAGAAACATAAACATATACAAAACAAAAGTCTTACTGCTTTCCGCAGGCTAGCCTTAAACTCCTGGGCTTAAGGATATATCCTAAGTACTTGTGAGTACCCTATACTGTGTATTGCTTTCATATGAGTTGATAAAGGGAAGTTTAAGTGTGCAGTGTGCCATTGGAGGTAGTTTGGGAGTAAAGATGAGGCTGTAGGAGGATAGTTTAATAATGACTGAAAATTAATGGAGTTGGTTGGGGAGTATAACTGAAGGTTGATGAGTATGGTTTCGGGGTGTTATACAGGAACCTGTTTTAAAGTTTAGATTTTAGGGAGATATTCTGGTTTGTAGGTAGAAGCTAATAGTGATTTGATGAACGATTAATAGATTGTTGACTAGGCTAATCTTCAGTGATAAAAGAACAAAGAACAGATTATTTTTCACATGCTACAATATGTATACACCTTTAAAACCTTTGCTATGGTAAAGCATTCTTGTAATCCCAGCACTCAGGGTGGCAGATGTAGGCAGATCTCTGTGAGTTTGTGGCCAGCCTGGTCTACAAAGGGAGCCAGGACAGCCAAGGCTACACAGAGAAGCCCTGCTCCAAAAAACAAAAACAAAAGAAAAACAAAGCCATCTACAGACGCCAGACATGTGATGCAAGCCTTTAATCCTGGCACTTGGGAGGCAGAAGCGGATGGATCTCTGAGTTTGAGGCCAGCTTGGTCTACAGAGTGAGTTCCAGGACCACTGGGGCTACACCAAAAACCCTGTCTCCAAAGCCCACCCTCAAAAATATCCTACAGGCAGGGTTGGGGTGGGAGGGGGGTGGCAGAACATGCTTTTAATCCTAGCACTTGGGAGGTAAAGGCAAGTGGATTTCTAAGTTGGAGGTCAGCTGGTCTACAGAGTGAATTCCAGGACAGCCAGGGCTACACAGAGAAACTCTGTATCTCAAAAAAACAAAGCAAGCAAGCAAACAAATACAAAACAAAACATTTACATATTGGAGTTGGAGAGATGACTCCACAGTTAAGAGCTATTCTTGTAAAAGATCTACATGGTGGCTCATAACCATTTGTAGCTCCAATTCTAAGGAAGCTGATGCCCTCTTCTGGCCTCCACAGGCACTGAATGAATTTGGTACCCATATATACATACATGCAGGCAAAACACACATACACATAAAAATATTTAAAAATCTACATATTACATTTAAATGTCTAGGATAAAGGAATCTATAGACCTTATTGGGGTCGTGCAGACAAGGGGCTCAGGAGTTGATTTAGATTTATTTTTCTTTTGGTTTTACATGTACGAGAATTTTGCCTGCATGGATGTGTAAGCACCAGAGTGTAGTGGCACATGCCTGTAATCCCAGCACTCTGGGAGGCAGAGGCAGGCAGATCTATGAGAGTTCGAGGCCAGCCTGATCTACAAAGGGAGCCCAGGGCAGGCAAGGCTACACAGAGAAACCCTGTCTCAAAAAAATAAATAAATAAACAAGCAAAATGTGTGGGCACCACTTCCATGGAATGCCATGAGTGCTGGGAACCAAAGTCAGGTCCTCTTAGAAAGCAGTCACTGGAGATGGCTCAGAGGTTAAGAACACTGACTGCTCTTCCAGAGGTCCTGAGTTCAATTCCTGAGCATGGTGGCTCACAACCACCTATAATGAGATCTGGTGCCCCATTCTGGCCTGTAGGCAGAACACTGTATACATATTAAATAAAAAATAAATCTTAAAAAAAATTAATCAACTAGGCCATCTCTCCAGCCCCATGGATCAGGAGTATGGATATCATCCTCCGTTATACAGCAAGATCCTGGCCAGCCTAGACCACATATAATTGTTTCAAAAAATGGGGAAATGTCTAGGAATATCTGAGGAGGTAGAGGCAGAAGATCAAAAGTTCAAGACTATCTTTGACTACTTAGACTTGGGTATCAGCCTGTACCTCATGGGACCCTGTCCTTTAAACAAACAAAACAATAAAGGAAGTTTTTTTCTCTTTAAATAATTATTTATTTTATGTATATGAGTGCTCTATCTGCATGCACACCTTGCTTGCTAGAAGAGGGGGTTAAGATTACATTTTAGATGTTGGTGAGCCACCATGTTGTTGCTGGGAATTGAACTTAGGACCTCTGGAAGAGCAGACAGTGCTCTTAACCACTGAGCCATCTCAGCCCAACAAAGGAAGTTTTGTAGAGATAAGATGGCCTGTTTGTGGAAGGGTGTTTGTTTTGGTGAGTGTCCATGGAGGACGGTTTGCAGTTAAACAGGTGACAGTTAGAAGTGATTCGAGGTGCAGGTGAAGCTTATATTGAACATCACTGGTAATCTTTGGAGTGGCGTTGCAGGATATTGGACAGCCCACTGGGAATCCATAAAGGGCAATGTGGAGATTATATACAGCGTTTAGGGTTAACAGAAGGTTTTCCTCATGTACAGTGAATTTAGGATTTAGGAGTGATATTTGGAGTTTGGCATTTTTCTCATTGATAGAGCACTTGTGTATTATGTATGAGGTCCTGGGTTCCGGAAATCCCTGTTACTGCAAATAAATGAATGAATAATATAAATGCTATTTAGAAGTCATTGGCTTCAAGAGTCCGGTCAATTGAAGATGGTGAAGGGAGAATAACCATCCCCCTCCCCCATGGTTAAACCATTAACCATTAATAGAAGGCAGCTTATTGGTACAAACTGAGTATTGATGAAGGGTGGATTGGAGGTACTGTTTGAGATTAACAGTTGGGATAACTATGGGAAGTGATGGGGGTATAATTCAGATGTAAATAGTAATTTGGAGGCTGCTGGAATGTAGCTTGAAGCACACGTTCCAAGAGTGTGCTATGAAAAAAAAAAAAAAACAAAAAAAAAACAAAAAAAAACTGAGCACTCAATTTTGACATCAATTAGAGGGTAACTTGCGGGTCCAGCCTAGTGTCAACAAATGATTTCTGCATGCTCGATAGAGTTGTGTGTTGATGCAGGTCAGTTACAGCAGAAAATGGCCTAGAGGTACTGCTTGAGGTCAAAGACAATTGGAGATATACTTTGGAGATATAATTTGGAGGATAGTGGAAGGTCGTTTGGGGAAGCATCTAGGAAACAGCAATAAAAGTCGTTAGGGGTACTTTAGAGGCGTCATAAACGCTTATGGCTAGCATTTGGAATGCTGTCTTGGAGAACAGTGACTTGGAGTCAGGGGATCCGGACAGCTCACCTAGGGGGCATGGCTTAGGCTCTGCCGCCCAAAAAAGCGCTTGCGCAAGCGCTCCCCGCTTCTTCTCCGTTCCTGGCGCTCCCACAGCAGAAAAAAAAAAAAAAAAAAAATCTAAGACCGAAAAGGCGCGTGCGCACTTTGTGTCTGCCGCTGCTGTGGTCCCGCGCCCCGCCCCCTCGTCCGCCAGCCCCCTAGGTTCACGCTCAGCGGCGGAGATAGCTGTGTAGCCACGAACAACCGTCCTGAGTTAAAGGTGAGGGGCGAGGGGCCGCCGCACACGGCAGAGCCGCCACACCTCTCCCACCATCCGGGGGTCCCCCATCTGCCCCTGAAGGCTAACGGTTGTGCGTGTAATCGAACGCGGCCCAGAGGTAGGGAGCAGAAGACGAGTAGGGCGCGCGCCCAGGGATGAGCGGGGGGCGGGGGGTGGGCTGAGAAAGAAGGCGCGCCCACTAGGTTCCTGTTGGCCTCTGCCAACCCCACCTGCGGGGCATTTCGAGGACCGTTGGTGAGTAACCGTTCTTGCCAGGAGAAGGGTGGGGACAGGGCGGGACAAGGCCTGGAAACGCCCACAAGGATGGACCTGCGCGCGCACCTTCACCCTCTGACCCAGTGCCCCCATCCCTGACACCTGTCTGACCTGACGACATCCCTTTTAAACCCCAAAGTCCTGGCAACCTTGGCCCAGAACCTTCAGCCCTACCCGTGTCCTAACTATATTTTGGCGTGGTGTGATCTTGAACCCCTTCTTTGTCCGCCAAGCCCAGTTCTAATCCCCAACTCTATCCAGGTTTATCTTTGGTCCCGATCCTAGTTTTGACCCTATCCTATCTCTGAAGCCCTTGTTTCGATGCCCACCACTAACTCTGATTCTGATCTGCTGCTTGATCACACTGTTCTTAAAATGCGTATCCAGGCTCTGAATCCCTTCCAGTCAAATGTTACGACTGTATAACCCTAATTTGCTCAGTTCTATCCTGATTCCTGACCTCTGACTTCTGTACCCTCCCCTACTGCCCCCCCACTCCTGATCTCTGTCATGGCTCACTACCTTTAGACATCCCTTTCTATGTCCCGCAGTTTCCCCCCTTTCTCTCTCTTGTTACCACCCGATTCCTGTCTTCATTCTGCCCCTGGTCTGGTCTTTTCCTGTTTCTGACCTCTACCAGAACCTGCCCCTCTCCCTCCCTTGGTCACTGGTTTGGCTTATCCCAGTCCTGTCTTCTAGCTATTGTTCTATACTATTTGTCTTCTTGTACTTTTTCTGCTCTTCAGAATCTTAGTCTTCTTTCCAGCATCTTTTCTTGGTTTTATTATTCTTTTTACATAGGATTTGTTTGTGTAGCCTTGACTGTCCTGGAACTTGCTATGTAGTCAATGACAGCCTCAAATTTGTGATGTGATCCTCTTAAATCTGCCTCCTGAGGGTTGGGATTATAAGCATGTATCACCACCATGCCCAGCCTTTGTTTTTAGACAGGGTGATACTATGTAGCCTAGGTTGGCCTGGAACTTGTGATCATTGTGTCTACACCTCCAGAGTGCTAGGGTTAAAGGTGTACCTCACCATACCTAGCTCTTGCTCTGCCTCTTGATCTCCATCCTATAGTGGCTTTTTCTGTTTTCAACCCTGCACTCATTCTTGTCCTAATGTCCCATTCCACCCCCAAAACCAGACCTCCTGTTTTACTTGTTATTGTAACATTCCAATTTGTTCAGTCCTTTCTCCTTCTTCATACCCATCCCTTTTGTGCTTTGGATTTCATTATACCTTGCCTCAGAACTTGAAGGCTCTGTTGTTTCCAGGGCTCCTAAAGTATGTTCCTTATACTGCTTTTAACAGGAGCAAGTAGGCTTGTAACCTCCTTGTGGCAGATGGAGTTTTTGTATGTGATTTTCCCCTCCCCCATCTCTATCCTAATGATCTCACATGGAGCTTGCATTTCTCTTACTGCCCCAGGAGCACATGGAGATGTTCCTACATCCCCTGCTTTCCCCAAATGTGAAAGAACACTGTAAATCATTCACTGACTCTGGGAGTCTGAGAGGTCTGGCTCATGTTGCCAGCCTTTCTATATTGGGGCCTGTCCCATGTTGAGTGTGGGAGGTATGGAGGTTGAAAACATACCAGTGTTAGAGACACAGGGTATGTATTCAATCTTTGAAGTCTTTTTATCTGCTCCCCCTGATTTTGATCCGGGGGATATGATCTCTGCTTTTTGCTTGAGTGACAAGACAAAACAAACAAAAAGATTCTAGGTCACAGACTTCAGGACTTTAGAAGGGGTTTATCTTTTTCTCTCATGAAGTTGTCAGTGAACATTTTGGTGCTAAATCCATCCCATCCATAGGGGTGTCTGTAGGAGTGTGTTGTGTGTAGGGGCATAGGCAGTGGCTGTTGCTGGATAGTAGCATAGGGCCCATTCAGCCTGTTAGTGCCATGTACCTGTATCTCCAGCTACTCAAGAAGCAAATGAGCCAGGCGGGGTGGTGCACACCTGTGATCCCAGCACTTGGGGAGGCAGAGGCAGGTGGATCTCTGTGAGTGAGGCCAACCTAGTTTACAAATGGTGTCCAGGACAGCCAAGGCTACACAGAGAGACCCTGTCTCAAAAAAGAAAGGAAAGAAAGAAAGAAAGAAAGAAAGAAAGAAAAAAAAAGGAAGGAAGGAAAAGAAGCAAATGTGGGGGGGGCACTTGAACCCAGAGTTCCTTGTTCATCCCAGTCAAGACCCACTATTTATTTATTTGTTTGTTTGTTTATTTGGCAGGGTCTCACTATGTAGTCCTAGCTCATCTGGAACTCACTATATAGACCAGGCTGTCCTCAGACTCACAGCCATCTACCTGCCTCTGCCTCCTGAGTGCTGGGACTAAAGTTGTATGCTACCATGCCTGGCAAAGCACATCATTTTTTTCCTAAAATACTTTTATATTTTTTTGACAAAATAAAATATAATAAGATAAAATAACAACAACAACATCACGTTGAGGTTGGATAAAACAAACCAACAGAAGGAAAAGAGCCCAAGAGAAAGCACAAGAATCAGAGACCCATAAAACTACTAAACTGAAGTCAGGAGGTGATGATGCACACCTTTGATCCCAGCTCTTGTGACGAAGATGCAGGAGAATTTCTGAACTCAAAAACAACCTGGTCTACAGAGTGAGTTCCAGGATAGCCAGGGCTACACAGAGAAATCCTTTCTCAGAAAGAAAGAAAGAAAGAAAGAAAGAAAGAAAGAAAGAAAGAAAGAGAGAGAGAGAGAGAGAGAAAGAAAGAAAGAAAGAAAGAAAGAAAGAAAGAAAGAAAGAAAGA